AGGAGACTGGGAGTTCTAGTCCTGCCTTAGGCATGAAAGCCAACTGGGTGACTTTGGGCCAATCACCAGGAGACGGTGAGTTCTAGTCCTATCTAAGGCATGAAAGCCAGCTGGATAACTTGGGCCAATCACCAGGAGATGGTGAGTTCTAGTCCTATCTAAGGCATGAAAGCCAGCTGGATAACTTGGGCCAATCACCAGGAGATGGTGAGTTCTAGTCCTATCTAAGGCATGAAAGCCAGCTGGGTGACTTTGGGCCAATCACCAGGAGATGGTGAGTTCTAGTCCTGCCTTAGGCATGAAAGCCAGCTGGGTGACTTTGGGCCAATCACCAGGAGACGGTGAGTTCTAGTCCTATCTAAGGCATGAAAGCCAGCTGGATAACTTGGGCCAATCACTAGGAGATTGTGAGTTCTAGTCCCACCTTTAGGCATGAAAGCCAGCTGGGTGACTTTGGGCCAATCACCAGGAGATTGTGAGTTTTAGTCCCGCCTAAGGCATGAAAGCCAGCTGGATAACTTTGGGCCAATCACCAGGAGACTGGGAATTCTAGTCCCGCCTTAGGCATGAAAGCCAGCTGGGTGACTTTGGGCCAATCACCAGGAGACTGGGAGTTCTAGTGCCTGGCTGAGGAATTCTGGGAGTTGAAGTCCACAAATCATCAAAGGGCCAGGCTGGAAGACTGTTATACTGTTATGGAAAAGTAAAAAGTTGATGCTTCAAGGTTTAGGCTTCATTCTACTGCAACAGAGGGAGACAGAAGTCAATGTCTTTTCTCCCCCCCCCTTCCCCTCCTCTCTTTTCTTTTTCCCTTCCCCACTGTATCCTATTATTCGCTTTTCTACTTTTGTATTTTATTCTACAATCTAATAAAAGGTTATTTTTTATTTTAAAGAATGCTGGAGGCCCTTTAAGCAATGGATTGACCTCACAGCTGGTATAATAGAAAGCCAGAGGAATGAAAATGTAGCCGGGGTCTTAAATTAGATACTATTAACATGCTCAGCTATTTTCTTCTTGTGACACTGCTGTAATACAGGTTGTATTTCCCTACGATGACCCCAGCAGAGTGTTCCCTTGGGGATATATTAACATATTAACAACACCAGAAAAGCAAAAAAGAGGAGCTGGTGTGACAGAGAGGGGAATTTAAAATGTCTTCTCTGGCTTAACCCTGTGAAAGAGATTTCAGTTAGCAAACGGGCGTTAAGTTGAGGACTTCCTGTTAAGTTGTTAAGTGGAGGACTTCCTGAACAGGAAGTCCTCTACTTACGAGCCCAGCATTTCTGCTGCTAAGCAAGACAGTTGTTAAAACGTGTAATGGCCCATTTTATGACCTGCCTTCCCTGCAGTTGTTAAATGAGTCACCCGGTTGTTAAGTGAACAGGGCTTCCCCCCATCGACTCCGCTTGTCGGAAGGCCGCAAAAGGGGGTCACGTGACCCCCCCGTGGGACATTGTGACCGTCATAAATGTGAGCCAGTGGCCAAGCATCTGCATTTTGAACACGTGACCCGTGGGGATGCCGCAACGGTCGTTAAGCGTGAAAAATGGTCAAAAGTCCCTTTGTTCAGGGCCGTTGCAATTCCGAATGGTCACTAAATGAGTCGAGGACAACCTGTATATAGAAAGTCCCGACTGCTGCTCCACGCTTAAAAAGGACCAAGGCTGCTTTATGGGGAGATACAATTAGGTGGAATAATTAATATTGGATTCCACGAGATAGAGGTAGGACAATTAACCAGTGGAACAGCTTGCCACCAGAAATCGTGGGCGCTCCATCACTGGAGGTTTTTAAGAAGAGACTGGACAGCCACCTGTCTGAAATGGTCTAGGGCAGGGATAGGCAACCTTGGCTCTTTTATGACTCGTGGACTTCAACTCCCAGAATTCCTGAGCCAGCTATGCTGAGGGGAAAGGGAGAGGTTTCCAAGCTGAGCCATGCTGGCTCAGGAATTCTGGGAGTTGACGTCCACGAGTCATAAAAGAGCCAAGGTTGCCTACCCCGAGTCTAGGGTCTCCTGCCTGAGCAGGGGGCTGGACTAGAAGACCTCCAAGGTCCCTTCCAGCGTCTATTCTCATTGTGATGCTGGATTCCACTTTAATAGGAAGTGATATTTTCTCCTTACTCAGAGCAGAGACGAAATGAGGGAGTCCTTGGTGCTCTCTGAGCTCAGAGACGAAATTTTACAGCATCCATCGGTCAAATGATGGCGCAGGGTCTTTTCCCCCCCCCCTTACTTCTTGGGCCAAAATCTGAGACACGTCTGGAACCTCCGTGCTCATTCCGGAGAGGTGACTCAGAAAGTGGGAATGGCTCAGGATATCAAATGCCAGATGGTGATATTTAAGAAAGAGCTTAGCTGTTTGCCCCTTGTAAGGTCCTGGGAAAAGGTCTAACAAGGAGCTGAGGCTGGCTGGGCTTTAAAGGCAGGCTGACAATTATTACACAGGTAGTCCTCCACTGAGCCCAAACTTTTCGTTGTTAAGGGAGACATCTGTTGAGTTTTGCCCCATTTTACGACCTTGAGTGAATCACTGCAGTTGGTCAATTAGTAACACAGTTGTTAAGTAATAATAATAATAATAATAATAATAATAATAATAATGATAATGATGATGGTGATGATGATGATAACAATAATAATAATGACGATGACGACAATAATGATGATGATGATGATGATGATGATGATGATGATGATGATGATGATAATAATAATAATAATAATAATAATAATAATAATAATAATAATAATAATAATAATAATAATAATAATAAAAAGTTGGAAGGGACCTTGGAGGTCATCTAGTCCAACCCCCTGCTCAGGCAGGAAACCCTATACCATTCCAGACAAATAGGCTGTCCAGTCTCTTCTTAAAAACTTCCAGCGTTGGAGCATTCACCGCTTCTGGAGGCAGGTTGTTCCACTGGTTAATTGTTCTCACTGTGAGGAAGTTTCTCCTTAGTTCCAGGTTGCTTCTCTCCTTGATCAGTTTCCACCCGTTGCTTCTCGTCCTGCCTTCAGGCGCTTTGGAGAATAGCTTGACTCCCTCTTCTTTGGGGCAGCCCCTGAGATATTGGAACACTGCTATCATGTCCCCCCCCTCGTCCTTCTCTTCGTCAAACTAGACATCCCCAATAAATCTGGCTTTCCCCATGGATTTTGCTGGTCAAAAGGTCAACCAAAAAAAGAGATCACGTGACTTTGGGACACAGCAACGGTCGTAAGTACGAATCAGTGGCCAAGCTTCTGAATTTTGATCACGTGATTCTGTGGATGCTGCAAAGGTCGTAAGTGTGAAACACGGTCATAAGTCACTTTTTTCTGTGATCTTGTAAATTTGAACCGTTACTAAACCGACTGTGGTTCAGTCGAAGTCAGAATCCCCAACCCTCTTCGGTTCATTACATCAAAAGCAGTTTGGGTTTTGTGTTTTATACCTTTACAAAGTTTTCGGGTTACTCTGAAAATTCGCCATCAACTTTAGCTGCCTGCTGCTTCCTCTGACACATTGTTGGCCCTTTTGATGCAAAATGAGACAGAAGGCTAAGAACGTACCTTCAGGACGTCAGTGGGGTTAGCAATGGAAGATGAGATGACCCCAGACAGGACCCCACAGAATACACTGACAGCCAACGTTTCATCTGTTTCAGGGGGAAAAAAAAATCATTACACTCTTCTTTGGGGGTCCAAATCAGTTCTGATGAAACCCTGCAGTTTTCTTTATATACACACACACACACACACACACACACACACACATACATATGCAGATCTTGGCGTATTTGGGTCTTTTCCCGTATAAGATACGCCAAGACCTGCATACCTGTACCCGTGAAAATCTACGAAAACAAATACATACATACATATACACACACACACACACACACATATATATACACACACACACACATATATATATATACACACATATATATACACACACACATATATATATATATATATACACACACATACACACACATATATATATACACATACATACATACATACATATTATTAGATTTTATATGGATGGGGAGGGAATGAAATAGGTAGGGGTATAACATAGGGTAAAGAACAAGGATTAAACCAAAGGTAGGGATAGGTACAATAGTGGGGTTACCCCCAACAATAAATCGACACTTTAGCAAACAGACTACCGTCCGGATGTACATGTTAAATGTCCGTAGTTAATATAATACTAAACAGCAATGTTAAATAGATTTATCACTAATAATAAGAATGAGAAATTAACCAATACATATCATTCATTCTACGAATAACAATTAATGTACTATTAATAATGTATTACTAATTGAATATAATTACTTATAAATACTGATATACTGCTTATTAATTATAATTACTTATAGGTAAAATCGGAAATAGAAGAGTATTCACAGCAATCAGATAACATAAAAGTTGAATAAAAAGTATCACTTACCCTATTTAATTTCATAACCTTTTCTCATTCGCTCGTGTTGCTAACCATTGATAGATTTTTTTCCCAATGTTTTAAAATAAATTGTGTCTTCTTTCTCTTTGATTTCTAAAGCTAGTCTATCCATTTCTGCACATTCCAATATCTTTGTAATAATAATGTGGTCAGGTGGTAGCTTTCCATTTTTCCAAAATTGGGCAAATGCTATTCTCGCAGCTGTTAATACATGTAATATTAGGTACTCAATTCTCTTTTCCATAATTAGATCCTAGTATTCCTAGTAGAAACAGTTCGGGTTTAAATTCTATCAGCTTTCTTGGCGACATTTTTTGAAGTGTCTTAGTACAGCTGACCCCTGCATTGAAATTCTCCTAGCTCCCTTCGCCCTCTGCTCTAACCAATCTTTGATCTAAGAAATGCAGCTCCCACAGCCACACTTCTCTGTGCATCAATGATTCACCTGTGGAGATGGTTACCAGCATCAAATTCCTGGGTGTGCAGCTAACGAGTAGGCTGGCTTGGTCGCTCAACAGTGAGAAACTGGTGAAGTGGGCACAGCAGCGCCTGCATTTTCTGCGTCACATGAGAAAAGCACATCTTCCTTCCCCTGTCCTCACCACTTTCTATAGAGAGATGATTGAGAGCATCCTATCATACTGTATTACAGTCTGGTTTGGAAGCATCACTGTTTCAGACAGGAAGGCAATGCAGAGAGTGGTGAGGATGGCAGAAAAGATTATTGGCTGTTCCCTCTCTTCCATCCAGGACATAGGATACAAGCGTTGCTTGAGCAGGGTCCAAAAGATTGTATGGGACACTACACATCCTCTTCACAACCTGTTTTCCTTGTTACCTTCTGGGAGGAGGTTCCATGGTATCCGAAGCAGAACATCCAGATTCAGTCACAGTTTTGTGCCAGGCACTATTAACCTTGTGAACTCTAAAGCTTCATCCTTCCGTTGTGTATTCAAGATGGATAGTGATTAATATTTATATGTTACTTCTACGTAAGGGTGTAGGTCTATACATATGTTGTATATAATATGTTTAAATTTGTGTTATGTGTGTGTACACTTTGAGAGCAAGCAACTAAATTTCATTTTTAATGTGTGTCGTTGTGCCCACAGTAAAAAAAAATGACAATAAAGGTTATCTTATCTTATTATCTGGGAGAAAAAATCTTCTTTACCTTCTGGCAGTAAAAAAATGATAATAAAGGTTATCTATCTATCTAAGTAAGTGGTGAGGACGGCCGAAAAGATCATTGGCAGCTCCCTCCCTCCCATCCAGGACATGGCACAGAAGCGCTGCTTGAGCAGGGTCCACAAGATTGTCTGGGACACTACACATCCTCTTCACAACCTGTTTTCCTTCTTCCCTTCTGGGAGAAGGGGGCTCCGTGGTATCCGTAGCAGAACATCCAGATTCAGCCATAGTTTCATTCCATACAGCATTAACCTTGTGAACTCTCAAGCTTCCTCCTTCCATTATATATTCAAGATGGACAATATTTAATATTTATTTGTTATGTATATGTAGGGATGTGGGCCTTTACATATGTTGTATATAGTATGTTTTAGGTGTGTGTCATGTATGTGTTTCACTTTGAGAGCGGGCAACTAAATTTCATTTTTGATGGTGTGCCGTTGTGCCCACAGTATAAAAAATGACAATAAAGGTTATCTTATCTTATTATCTGGGAGGAAAAAAAATTGGCTTTACCTTCTGGCCGTTCGATAAATATTCTTTTCAAGCTCTGGTAAGTGCCTATTTTGATGGTTCCATAAGAAGCCTGGCGTAACATAGCCGGGGCGATGCTGCAAGAGGGGGAAAAAAAATGGGCATAAAATCAGGGGTCTGGCTGTCCTGCAGTCTTTTAAGCAGCTAATACGCCAGGTGAGGAATCCCAAAGGTGGTTGTTTTTTTTTTCAGGAGGCAACTGGTCTTTCTTGTTTTTCTTTGAAGACGTCTCGCTTCTCCTCCAAGAAGCTTCTTCAGTTCTACAAAGCTACCAAGCTGAAGAAGCTTCTTGGAAGAGAAGGGGAACATTTTCAAAGAGAAAAAAGAAGGTCCAGTTGCCTCCTGGAAAAGCACCTTTGGGAGAAACATGACCTGGAGGATGGAGAATCTCCAAAGACATGGAGGGGAAGAAGTTATGACCACCTTGGTTTCAGCAAAAGTGCTCAGGGTCTCCAAGGATGGTTGACCACCAGCACAAATTAATTGAGACTTATGTTTGTTTATTTGGTACCCTTGATAGTGTCTTGGTCATTGTTTGGACTAGGACAGGGGTAGGCAACCTTGGCTCTTTTATGACTGGTGGACTTCAACTCCCAGAATTCCTGAGCCAGCATGGAGGAAACTTTGGCCCCTTCATGATTCAAGAACTTCAATTCCCAGAATTCCTGAGCCAGCATGGGGGAACTATGGCCCCTTCATGACTCGTGGACTTCAACTCCCAGAATTCCTGAGCCAGCAGGGCTCAGCTTAGAAACCTCTCCCTTTCCCCTCAGCATGGCTGGCTCAGGAATTCTGGGAGTTGAAGTCCACCAGTCATAAAAGAGCCAAGGTTGCCTACCCCTGTCCTACGTCCTCCTGTTCTAAGCGGTGAGCCTCCTAGTCCAGGGGTAGGCCACCTTGGCTCTTTTGTGACTTGTGGACTTCAACTCCCAGAATTCCTGAGCCAACAGGGGGGAACTATGGCCCACTCATGACTCATGGACTTCAACTCCCAGAATTCCTGAGCCAGCATGGCTCAGCTTGGAAACCTCTCCCTTTCCCCTCAGCATGGCTGGCTCAGGAATTCTGGGAGTTGAAGTCCACGAGTGATAAAAGAGCCAAGGTTGCCCACCCCTGGACTAGGACCTGCTGTTTTCTTGGCAAGGTTTTTCCGAAACGATGTCTCCTCCTCCTCCTTTTCTTCTGCAAGGTAATAATTGGCCCCAAGTCACCCAGTTGATTTCATGTCTAAGGCGGGACTAGAACTCACAGTCTCCTGATTTCTTGTATGGGGTCTTCAGCACTACACCAAACTGGCTCCCTTCTATCCATTATTACTGGTTGAATTAGTTATTGCTGGGAAAAGTTCTTGGCTAGGAAGATGGATTTCCATCAACTTAGACTAGGGGTAGGCAACCTTGGCTCTTTTATGACTCGTGGACTTCAACTCCCAGAATTCCTGAGCCAGCATGGCTCAGCTTGGAAACCTCTCCCTTTCCCCTCAGCACAGCTGGCTCAGGAATTCTGGGAGTTGAAGTCCACGAGTCATGAGGGGGCCATAGTTCCCCCATGCTGGCTCAGGAATTCTGGGAGTTGAAGTCCACGAGTCATGAGGGGGCCATAGTTCCCCCATGCTGGCTCAGGAATTCTGGGAGTTGAAGTCCACAAGTCATAAAAGAGCCAAGGTTGCCTACCCCTGACTTAGACCCAAGTTTGACTCCCAGGGGAAGTTATGAAGAATCTATAAATACAGAAATCACCAGCAGTTGTGTGTAAAGCAGGAGAGACAGGAACGCACTTTTTCCAAAAGATCTTATTTCAGAACTTTGGGCTTAGATGTTCCAGAGGAAAAAAAATAGAGAATACCAAGCTTTTTAAGAATTGTTTAGGACATTCCTAACCAATCTGATTGGGATTGTATTGCATGTGTGTGTGTGTTCGTGTAAACGCACACAACAGGGGGAAAAGATTTAGAACAGCCCAAACTTTAAAAGCAGTGGTCGCACCTAAAAAGGTGCACAGTTTTGTTTACAATCCAGCAGCCTTTTTTCTCATGAGAAAATGCCAGGTTAATGCAAATTAGCCCATTCAGAAAATAAGCTAGGGCGTGACTCAGAATTAGGTAAGATAATCTAAAACCCCAGTTTGGGGTACTGGTTAAGGCATCAGATTGGAAACCAGGAGATTTGGGCCAGTCATTTTCTCTCAGCCCTAAAAAGGAAGCAATGGCAAGCCACTTCTGGAAAAAACTTGCCAAGAAATTTGCAAAAATTTGTCTAGACCAGGGGTAGTCAACCTTGGCTCTTTTATGACTCGTGGACTTCAACTCCCAGAATTCCTGAGCCAGCTAAGCTGGCTCAGGAATTCTGGGAATTGAAGTCCACGAGTCATAAAAGAGCCAAGGTTGACTACCCCTGGTCTAGACAGTCTCTGAGAACTGCATATGATTAAATAGACAAGAACTAAAAATATAGCATGTTACACACAAGTCTGTCACCCAACTAACTACGTAGAAACACATTTGCACAGTTCAACAACCCACAGAACAGTCAAGATTAGAAATCTTACCCAGAGTATAAGGCCTTCAATCCTTCTTCCCTGAATATTTTCACTAAAGCGTGAACCATCCCACGATAACGAATTTCTTTATGCTTCACATCATTTTTTTGACCTTGTACCTGCAGGCGCGTTTTTGTCAGATCAATTGGGAAAGTACCTACGTGCCCAAGAAAAAAAAACTGGTCAGTTCACGAATTATAAATTTACAGAAATATATACATTCCAGAATGAAGCAAACTTAAGTTTCCAACATAAATTGGGCAGAATATACATTCTGTGTTTCTGCGTGTGTCTGTTTGTGCGTGGTGCGTGCACGTGTGCCTGTTTAAAAAACACGCATACACAGGATGGAGGGGGCCTTAAATTTTTAAAGACAGCTAATTTCATTAAAAATAACTATATATTTTTATCAAACCTTTCAACTTATCTATAACGATTCATATTTTACTCTGTTGATCCACATTCCGCTGTCTATTAGAGTATCTGAATATTATTACTGTATACATGCCACATTTTTGTTCAAAGCACTGTGAATAATTAAAGTGTGAAATAAAAAAAAACAACCTCTTAGCAACACAATAACAGTACAAGTTAAGATAATAACTCAAATGCTGTTGAATGAAAAATAGGAGCCATAATTGCATTCCACAGGCTGGGAGCAAGCTTCAGAGAATAGTAAAGTACATTCCTAGCAAGGTACAATAATATTTCTGACTGCTTTTGCAAACATCTAGTTACGCTGCAGGCGTAAGAAATTTTGTTTTTGCGCTAAAGTATTAATTTCCTGCTTTTTTTAAAAAAAAACCCTGGATACTTCTTCACTTTTTCCTTCCCCCAGTTTATACTGTATCAAAATTCAGTCACAATGTAGATTTATTTCGAGAGAAACATAGTTTTAAAAAGAAGTAAAAATTCCCTTTTCTCAAAAAAGCAAAGCAAAGAAGTCTTCCTTTTTAAATTCCTTTTTTAAAATTCAAAACGTATCGCTTGGCTGTTTCAAGCAGGCCTCAGAGTCAAATTCCTGGAATTAAAAAGGAAGGAAGCGGATTTACAAATAGGCCCCTGAACGCAAGTAATAAATTCACCCTGATCTAGTTATACTTTTATTTTAAGGTGGCCATCGCGTGACTTCTTTTGCAATGTAAATTGCCTATGCTTTTAAAATAAGATTTATCTCCAGGAAACCTTAATGATAAGACCACGTTTCATTACCCAGCTAAGTAATTTCATCCACGGTTTGCAAAATACTAGCTTCCAACTTCCTCTTCAAGATGGGAGTTACAGTTATTAAATATTTTGCTCATTCCAAAACAGAAATGAAAACCTGTCGCCTTTTTTGTTAAAAAAAAAAAAAATAGGGACACAGGCACAATGCAGACGGTCCTCCACTTACAACACAGTTCACTTAGTGACCGTTCAGATTTACAACATCACTGAAAATAGTGACTTGTGGCTGTTTTTCTCACACACGGACAACCGTTGTAGCCTCTGGGTGGCCACGCGATCGAAATTCAGACGCTTGGCAACCGACTCACACTTATGACGGTCGCAGGATCCTGGGGGGAGGGGCAGGGGATCCCCTTTTGCGACCTTCCGACAAGCCAAGTCAACGGGGAAACCCGATTCACTTAACAACCGGGTCACTAAGTTATCAATTGCGATGAACAACTGTGGCGAGAAAAGTCGTAAAATGGGGGGAAACCCACTTAACAAATGTTTCACTTAGCCACAGAATTTTTCGGCTCGCTTGTGGTCGTAAGCTGAGGACTACTTGAAATAATTTTTTTTTTAAATGAACAGGTGGCAACAGCATTAAATTGGGTTATGGCCCCTCTCTGTAAGAGTCCAGGCTCTGCCACGCTTAGTTAGAGATCTTGCAAAGATTTTAGTGCCAAGGCACGTTGAGCTGCACGGGTCATTTCCAAGTTAATTAAGCAACTGCACCGGGTAGTTTTTTAAATGAGCAGCAAATCCTTCAGCCGATTACTTCAGGGTTCAGATACTCACCACATTCTGCAGTGATGGAAGCCAGACCTCCGTACACAAACGGTTTCCAGTTCAACGCCGCCATGCTCCTCCGTGTCTCTTCCCTCTGCAGGGCAACAAAGCAACACACCTAGGACTAAGGAGAAATTTCCTGACAGTGAGAACAATTAACCAGTGGAACAGCCTGCCTCCAGAAGTTGTAGGTGCTTCATCACTGGAGGTTTTTAAGAAGAGACTGGACAGCCATTTGACTGAAATGACTGAGACTGCCTGAGCAGGGGGTTGGACTAGATGACCTCCAAGGTCCCGTCCAACTCTGTTATTCTATTCTATTCTATTCTATTCTATTCTATTCTATTCTATTCTACTCTACTCTACTCTATTCCACTCCACTCCATTCTATTATTTTTCTATTCTATATTCTATATTCTATTTTTCTATTCTATTCTAATTCTATTCTTCAATCAATCAGTTTATTCTATTCTATTCTATTCTAATTCTACAGTATTGTGTTGTGTTCTATTCTGTTCTATTCTAATTCTACAGTATTGTGTTGTGTTGTGTTCTGTTCTATTCTAATTCTACAGTATTGTGTTGTGTTGTGTTCTATTCTATTCTTATTATACAGTATTGTTGTGTTGTATTCTATTCTTATTCCATAGTATTGTGTTGTTGTGTTCTATTCTAATTCTACAGTATTGTGTTGTGTTCTATTCTTTTCTGTTCTATTCTATTCTAAAGTATTGCGTTGTATTCTATTCTGCATTTTTATTCTCTTCTCTTCTATTCCATTCTTAAATACATCTTCCTGATAGGGCAGGAATGGGCCCAGGTACAGCTCTCCAGCCCCAGCCCCTTTGAACACGCCCAAAGTAGGTGGTAATCTCTACTTACTATAGTTCCTTTAGTGACCATTCAAAATGACAACAGCACTGGAAAAGAGAGACTTGTGACCATTTTTCACACTTACGACCGTTGCAGCATCCCCACGGTCACGTGATCAAAATTCAGAGGCTTGGCAACTGGCATGTACTTATGACGGTTGCAGAGTCCCGGGGGGGTGTCACGTGATCCCTTTTTGCAGCCTTCTGATGAGCAAAGTCCATGGGGGAGCCAGGTTCATTTAAGAACCGTGTTACTGACTTAACAACTGACGCGATTTACTTACAACCGTGGCAAGGGCGGTCATAAAATGAGGCAAAGCTCATCTAACAAATGTCTCGCTCAACAACAAGAAATTTTGAGCTCAATTGTGGTTGAAGTCTACTATACCTCCCTGACATACAGCAGCAAAAAGGCTGAATTTGAGAAGGCTGTTTTTTTTCATCCTTTTCGCCCCAAAGGTGGGAAAAATCCAGGTGTTTTATTTAAAACCTCACCAAGGCTTGACAGATTTCTGCTACCTCTGGAAAACTCTTAGCTCAGCTGGTGGTGGCAACTGGCTGGCCTTGACTGGGCCTCAGAGCAAAACATAAATCAGGCCAGGTTAGTAGCAGGCTGGGAGACCATGAAGGGATCAGCTAAACTGGGAAAGTTGGACCATAAGAAAGGCTGAGCGCCGAAGAATGGAGGCCTTTGAACTCTGGTGCTGGAGAAGACTCCTGCGAGTCCCCTGGACTGCAAGGCGATCCAACCGGTCGGTCCTGGAGGAGATCAACCCCGACTGCTCTTTAGAAGGCCAGATCCTGAAGTTGAAACTCAAGTCCTTTGGCCACCTAAGAAGGAAGGACTCCCTGGAGAAGAGCCTGATGCTGGGCAAAGATTGAGGGCAAGAGAAGAAGGGGACGACAGAGAATGAGGTGGCTGGATGGAGTCCCTGAAGCAGGAGGCCTGAGCTTCAATGGACTCCAGAAGATGGTAGAGGACAGGAAGGCCTGGAGGAGATCAACCCTGACTGCTCTTTAGAAGGCCAGATCCTGAAGTGGAAACTCAAGTCCTTTGGCCACCTAATGAGAAGGAAGGACTCCCTGGAGAAGAGCCTGATGCTGGGAAAGATGGAGGGCAAGAGAAGAAGGGGACAATGACAGAGAAGGAGGGGGCTGGATGGAGTCCCTGAAGCAGGAGGCCTGGGCTTAAATGGACTCCAGAAGATGGTAGAGGACAGGAAGGCCTGGAGGAAGGTTGCCCATGGGGTCACGATGGGTCGGACACGACTTCGCAACTAACAACAACAAAACTGGGAAGTTAACTGGGATCTAATTAAGGGGATAATAGCCAGCAACTTAAATAACAGAACAACATGAGTTGGAAGGGACCTCAAGAGGTCTTCTAGTCCAACCCAGTGCTCAAACAGGAGACCAGGTACCATTTCACACAACTTCAGTGCTGCTGGCAGAAAAACATGGCAAAGTCCTGAAAAGACCTGGCTATAAGGACATTTTCCCGAACCCCCAAAATGTGAATAAAACGGGAGACGTGAACCAGAAAAATAGCTCCCTCCGACAATAACATTTCAATGTATTTTTTTCCGATTCTAAAACTTAACTGCCGGGTAATTTTGTTTAGGCTTTACAAAAAATAAAACTGAAATTGAATTATCAGTTTTCTTTCTTTTTACCCCTCTTTCTTTCTCCTGCAAATGTATGACTGCTGACAGTGAAAACAATTAAATCGGCGGAACAGCTTGCCCTCCAGAAGCGGTGAATGCTCCAACACTGGAGGTTTTCAAGAAGAGACCGGCCAGCCGTTTGTCTGAAATGGAATAGGGTTTCCTGCCTGAGCAAGGGGTTGGACTAGATGACCTCCAGGGTTCCTTCCAACTCTTTTGTTATTCTGTTATTCTGAATTGCTTGCCTCCAGAAGTTGTGAATGCTCCAACACTGAAGGTTTTCAAGAAGAGACTGGCCAGCCATTTGTCCGAAATGGTATAGGGCAGGGGTAGGCAACCTTGGCTCTTTTATGACTCATGGACTTCAACTCCCAGAATTCCTGAGCCAGCATGGGGGAACTATGGCCCCTTCATGACTGGTGGACTTCAACTCCCAGAATTCCTGAGCCAGCATGGGGGGAACTATGGCCCCTTCATGACTGGTGGACTTCAACTCCCAGAATTCCTGAGCCAGCATGGGGGAACTATGGTCCCCTCATGACTCGTGGACTTCAACTCCCAGAATTCCTGGGCCAGCCTGGCAACCTCTCCCTTTCCCCTCAACATGGCTGGCTCAGGAATTCTGGGAGTTGAAGTCCACCAGTCATAAAAGAGCCAAGGTTGCCTACTCCTGGTATAGGGTCTCCAGTCTTCAACTCCCAGAATTCCTGTGCCAGCATGGGGGAAACCTTGGCCCCTTCATGACTTGAGGACTTCAACTCCCAGAATTCCCTCCCAACTCTGTTATTCCGTATTCTATTTTGTATGCTGCGTTCTCTTTTTCTGTTGCTGTTCCTAAAAAAGAAAAGAAAAAAGGCCTTGTCCTGGGAAACGTTTCCGGGGTCACACCCCTCTGAGAACAACCAGCATCGAAAAGATTGGGTTAGCTCGTTTCAAAACCAGTGTGTGACCTTTACCTCCCTCCCGGCAGCTTTTGATCACGCAGTGCCCGCCCGGCTCTCTCCCAAATATTTCTCCTGATCCTCACCTCCTGCAGCCCTCTGTTCACTCCACCCTTTTCCCATTGTTGCAACTTTCTCTTCCAGCCCCCAATTTGTAAAACCCAGGTCAAGGAGAAGTAACCCAGCCCCCAGGCGTTTGCATTTATGATCCTGGGATCACGGGTTTACACAACACACAGTGCAAACCAAACAAACCACATTCCCCCTTATTCCTAGCCCTGCCTTATTTTCGTATCAGCCACCCAATCTCAGCTAATGCCACTCTCTTCTGTTCATTAAAAGACAGCAAAAACTCTCCATGGGTCAATTTTAATCTTTATATGAGATCAGATTAGCCTCAAGGTTAAAATGACCCCACATCCTTTATTTTAAAGGACACATCCTTTATTTTAAAAAAAAACCCACTTGTCCTTTAGCTGTAGTTCTTTTTCAAAAACTTATCATTGTCCTTTATTTTAGTCATTTTTTTTCCCAATTTATTACAGCCAAAGCCAAAGGCCACACATAAATCAAATATTTTTTGGGGGGTCATTTAACCTTTTAAAGCACCAATGGCACCACTTAAGGCACAGGGTTTTTTTTTCCTTCACATTCCTGGGAAAAATATGGAAATGGAATTATCATTTTTAAGGTAAGCTTACATATACTCTTTGAGTTTAGATATTTGTATTAGGATGTGCACTTTTTCTTGGTTTTCCTCTTTAATTTTCTTTTTTTAAAGCAAAGTTCTAAATACAAGCAATTTTTTTTAACCTTGTAGAATCTCTTTTCAGATTTGTCCCTTTATTCCCCCCCCCCCAAGAAAATACAGTTTGTGTCTTTAAGAAAACTTCTGGAATATAAAATGCCTCTTTGATTATAGTTATTGTCTTCAATTCATGCCTAATGTTCTTTTCCAGAATATTTCATGGACCCGTCTATTTTTATCCAACTATGCCGCCTATCATCTGACAATGAGCTTAACCATATCAGTAAAAGACTTAAAGGCATCAAACCGTAAACCCTGTTAGGGTTAAGCTTGCTTTAGTTCTTTAGAGGCTTAGCAGGTTTGGTTACTTTATTGGTTTAGAGTGCTCTGTGAACCTCCTTTTCTTATAAAATAGACCTAATCTTCTTGGCATACCACAAAAGACATTTAAGCAGAAATAAAAAGCAAACTTTGTTAAGTCAAACTGGATTCCTGGTGAATAGCACAATCCCAGAAGCCTCCAGAAGCTGTGGATGCTCCAACACTGGAAGCTTTTAAGAACACACTGGACAGCCATTTGTCTGAAATGGTATAGGGTTTCCTGCCTGAGCAGGGGGTTGGACTAGATGACCTCCAAGGTCCCTTCTGAGTCTGTTATACTTTTTTTTCCTTCCTTCCATCCTTCCTTCCTCCCTCCCTCCCTCCTCCAACACTGGAAGTTTTTAAGAAGAGACTGGACAGCCATTTGTCTGAAATGATATAGGGTCTCCTGCCTGAGCAGGGGGTTGGACTAGACAACCTCCAAGGTCCCTTCTGAGTCTATTATACTATTTTTTCCCTTCCTTCCTTCCTTCCTTCCTTCCTTCCTTCCCTCCCTCCCTCCCTTCTCCAACCCTGGAAGTTTTTAAGAAGAGACTGGACAGCCATTTGTCTGAAATGGTACTATAGGGTTTCCTGCCTGAGTAGGGGGTTGGACTAGATGACCTCCAAGGTCCCTTCCCCAAGATTTAAGCTGCTAAACGGCACATTTGCCACACGGCTTCTGCCCCCTTTAAGGATCTTTCTTGCCACCGTTCTCAAGTGGAAACCCCCCCCCCATTAAGTTAGGAACACGGATGTTAAGCGAACCCGGCTTCCTTTTGGGCTTAAGGTCACAAAAAAAGGGGATGCCGCAACCGTCCTAAGTCCATGCCGGTTGCCAAGCCTCTGAGTTTGGCTCACGTGACTGTCACAGATATGGAAAGGAAAAAAAAAAAAGGCTCCTAAGTCCCTTTTTTTCCCAGCTCAGTCACTAAGGGCTAACTGAATGGATGGGAAGGCGGGGGGGGGGGGACGGTTGCTTCCCCGGGATTTCCTCGTGGTCTCCCATCCCCCCCCCCCCCCAGCTCACCTTTTCCCCCAGCCACCGCAAGAGCCAGGTGTAGCTCAGCATGCGGGTCAGGTGTTACCTCCGCTCGCCTCCCCGGTCCGGGCTGCTGCCGGCCAAGGCGGAGACCAGGCAGGCGGGCGGGCGGGACGGCCGGCTCTCCTCCCGGCAGGCGGCTCCCGAGTGGGCCGGGGAGGCGGCGGGGCCGGGAGCCAGCCGGGGCGCGGGGCGGGGCGGCCGGCAAGGGCCGCGCCCTCCGGCAGGCTGGCAGGTGGGGCGGGTTTTGCAAGCGGGCGCCCGCGGGCGCCGCTGCTCCCTCCCCGGCGGGGGCTTGGAGAAAGGCTCCCCCTCCGCCCCGCAGAAGCGCCCCGGAGAGGGGAAGGCCAGCCGGGAAGGGGCCGGAGGGAGCCGGCCTGGGCGCGGGGTCCCGTCCCCTGCAGAGCCGCCTGTACCTTGCTTGCCTCCCGGAGGCGGAGGGCTCGCCTGGGCTGGCAGTCACGCGGCGGCAGCTGAAAGAGTCCGGAGGGAAAGAAAGGAGGGAGGGAGGGTGTGTGTGTGTGTGTGAGAGAGAGAGAGAGAGAGGAAAAGAGAAAGAGGAAGAAAGAGGAGACAGAAAGAGAAAGAGACAAAGAGAAAGAAAAAGGGAAAGAAAAAAAAAGACACAGAGACAGAAAGAGAAAGAGAAAAAGAGGCAGAGAAAGAAAAAGACATAGAGAAAGTAAAAGAGAAAGAAAAAAGACGGAGAAAGAGAAAGAGAAAAGAGAAAAAGAGGCAGAGAAAGAAAAAGACAAAGAGAAACTAAAAGAGAACGAAAAAAGATAAAGATAGACAGAAAGAGAAAGAGAAGAGAGAAAAAGAGACAGAAAGAAAAAGACAAAGAGAAAGTAAAAGAAAGAAAAAAGACGAAGAGAGACAGAAAGAGAAAGAAGAAAGAGAAAAAGAAAGAAAAAGAGGCAGAGAAAGAAAAAGACAAAGAGAAACTAAGAACAAAAAAGAGATAGACAGAAAGAGAAAGAGAAAAGAAAGAGAAAAAGAGACAGAAAGAAAAAGACAAAGAGAAACTAAAAGAAAGAAAAGAGAAAAAAGACAGACAGAAAGAGAAAGAAAAGAGAGACAAATTGACAAAGGAACAAAAAAAAAGAGAGACAGACAGAGAAAGAAAAAGAGAAAGAGAGATGGTGAGAAAATGGGAATCTCCAGTGGCCCTGAAGTAACAGTTTATTTTTCCAATGTTGTCCTTACCTCCCAAAGTTCCTCCTATCCGATCATGATGATATTTTTGGAGAGCCCGTAAAAATCCAGCTTTTCTGGGAAAGATCAGTCAGATGAGGCTACCCCCTGCAAATTAAATGCATAATTATATATATCAGCACTGTAAGCTACTTAAAGTCTGCATGATTTCTCCAGATTGTTCCCGATGATTTGTCAAAGCAGGCTTAAAATATATTTACTACCACATAGTTCCAAGATTTTCAGGGGAGACTTGAGAGAGAGAGAGACAGAGAAAGAAAGAAAGAAAGAGGAAGAGAAAGAGACAGAGAGAAAGAGAGAGAGAGAGAAGCTTTGAATGAAACTGAAGCCTAAAGTTTGATTTTAAACGAGAGTCTTTCAACTTTGTTCATTCTTTTCTTAGGAAGTTTTTTCCAAGATACAATTTCACATTGGAAATCAAGTTGGATCAAACAATTATTTTAAATTTGTATCCATTTCTTTACCATCTCTACATATAAATACAAGTAGTCCTTGAACTTCCAGCCATTTGTTTAGTGACCGTTTGAAGTTACAACCTCACTGAAAAAAAAGTGACTTTATGACCATTTTTTCACACTTACGACCGGGGCAAAATCCCTGTGATCGCGTGGTCAAAATTCGGGCGCTTGGCAACTGACTCACATTTATGACGGTCACAGTGATCGCCTTTTGCGACCTTCTGACAAGGAAAGCCAATGGGGGAAGCCATGTGACTTACTTAATGACTGCGGCGATTCGCTTAACAACTGGCCGGGGAGGTCGTAACGACCGCCTTGCTTAGCAACCATAATTTTGAGCTCGGTTCTGGCTGTAAGTCGAGGACTACCTGAATTTGCCTCTGTATTGGCCGCCTGGAAAGATTTCAGGGGCGTTGCGTGCAATGAATATTTTACAATTCAATTTAAAATTCTCTGCAGCGTGGCCAGATTTAAGAAGAAAAATCCCAAAACTAATAATAATGCAAGTGTACAGAATTTGCAGTCCACTCTAGAAGATTCTTAAGGGCACCCATCCAAAGGAATCTCCTTTCCAAGACAGATAACATCCCCCTAATTTTTTTGGGGGGGGGGACTACATAAACAACTCCAGAGGATGGGCTTCCCTTCCCTTGGGCGTTTGCTCTCCCATGGGCTCAAATCTTCACAAGCGAACCCAGAAGTTGCTCATTCCCACCCTCCTCCTGCGCTGGGGCGAGTCTACCTTTTTGCTTCTAGGGCCCGGGAAAGAGGTCGGCGACGGCGGGGTGCGTGCCGACGTCACAGTTTCGTGCGTCATGAGGAGCGCGGCGATTGGCGACGCACGGATGGCAGGGACGTGCCCTGCTGGCTATATGAGCTCCGCGGAGGCGCCTCCTCGGCCTTTTTCCGCCTCGTTCTTCGCTCGCGCCGGGGGCTGCCGCCACTAGCGCTCTTCCACCCGACACCGCCGGCCTGCCGCCGCCGCCCGCCCGCCGCCTCAGCCATGATCATCTACCGCGACTGCATCAGCCGTGAGCCGAAACCCCCCGCCGCTTTTTTTTGCCCCCCTCTGAATCTTACGGGGAGGGAGGGGGGAAGGAGGGGACGAGTGCGCCTGCGCGGCCTGGCATTCCAGGCCGGGGAGCGCGCGCCGGACTCAGCCCGAACTGCGCCTGCGCCCTTTCGCCCGGCTTGTGCCTTGGAAAAGGGGAGGGAAGTAAAAAAAAAAAAAAAAAAAAGAGGGAAGCCAGCGCGGGCTCGACGGTCCTTCTCTCCTCCCCCCTCCTCCTCCCTCAAAGACGGCGCTCCATTGTCTGCGCATGTGTGTCGCCAAGGCGCCTGCCGGCCGCCGGGCCCCCGGCCCCAGTGCGCTTGCGCGAGAGGGCGGGAGCGGGGAGGGCAGGAAGGATGAGTCTGCTGCTGCTGCTGCTGCGGCGGGTAAAAGCCGCCGGCGGCCGATAGAGGGCGACAAAAGGGGCTGCGGGCAGCTCTCTCGCGCGCCCCGTTGGCCGGGCGGGGTATTGCAGGGTGGTTTTTAAATAGGTTTTCTCCATCCTTGGAGGTTTTTAAGAGGAGATTGGGCGACCACGTGCCTGGAATGGCCTGGGATGTCCTGTTCGAGCAGGGGGCTGGACTAGAAGACCTCTAAGGCCCCTTCCAAGCCTGTTATTCTGTTTCTCCCCCATCTGGGCAGTGGGGGCCAGGATCTCCTCTTCCAAGCAGGGGGCTGGACTAGAAGACCTCTTAAGACCCCTTCCAGCCCTCTTATTCTATGTTTCTCCCCCATCTGGGCAGTGGGGGCCTGGGGTCTCCTGTTCGAGCAGGGGGCTGGACTAGAAGATCTCTTAAGACCCCTTCCACCCTGTTATTCTATGTTTCTCCCCCATCTGGGCAGTGGGGGCCTGGGGTCTCCTGTTCGAGCAGGGGGCTGGACTAGAAGATCTCTTAAGACCCCTTCCAGCCCTCTTATTCTATGTTTCTCCCCCATCTGGGCAGTGGGGGCCTGGGGTCTCCTGTTCGAGCAGGGGGCTGGACTAGAAGACCTCTTAAGACCCCTTCCAGCCCTCTTATTCTATGTTTCTCCCCCATCTGGGCAGTGGGGGCCTGGGGTCTCCTGTTCGAGCAGGGGGCTGGACTAGAAGA